GTATTCAATTATTTTTGCTATTTGGTCGGGTAAATGTCAGATTTGCGACATTTTCTGATATGATATTCAGATTCTACGTTGATAATAATGCTTATAGAACCCTCTTGCTATTGTGTCAAAATTGCGAAACCGATAGCAAAAATATCTCGCAATATCAAAATTGAGATATTGGGTGAATTATGCATTATAGAGATTAAAAATCTGATTTGTGAAAACATCTCATCAGTTTCTAGCTAATTCAAAAATCTTTACTATCTTATTCGATTAAAATGAAAAGGGAATAGTTTCATTATGCTTTAAATGACAGCCTTATAATATAATCATAGTTTTCGCTCAATATGCAGCATTTTTTTTTCGAAATCTATGGTCAATATCCTAAATACTGATTGCTTTGCATTCATATCTCTTACATTTTCTATACCCACATCACTATTCATTGCTATTCCTATCTTTTTCATTTTTGTTTGTTTCTCATAATTTCTCAAAAAACACGATAACTTGATATTTGTAAATATCATACTTTATAACGTAAATAAGAACTTGACCTATTAAGAAAAGCAGTAATGAAAAGAAAATCTGAAATTCATAAAAATTACAAGTTTCTGATGACAATTAGCTTAATTAAACCAGGTACAAGATTATATAATTGTATTTTCTATCCAATTATCCATATAATATCTTATCCAGAAAAAATAACTTGAAGTAGTATAAGAAGAAGGGTTGTGTGACTTTTTTTGTTACATCTATATATAGACGATACATTAAAATATATTTATATACTAAACGCATTAAAAAATTAACATTAATTTTAAAATAATTTATTTTTTTATCTTTTATAAAAGAAGCTATATATAGATGATGTCAGATATTCCGCGATTAATTAAACATTGTTTAAATCCTGAATGGGTTAAACTTCAATTTAAAAATGAAGATTGTGAATTATTAAATGAATATGAAAGCCAAAATAAGCTAATGAGGTATAAATATAATGATAAAGAATATTTAATTTCATGGAATCAATGGAGTCATAATCAAAGACCTCATAAACGAGAAGAAGAAATTGAAAATAATGAAATGGAAATCATTGATGACATTAAAGAGGATGGAATTCCTAAATTTTGTAGAAAAACCTTTAGAACTAAGTTAGGAGCATATAAACGTAGAGTATTAAATCCTGAATACATAAAACATTTATTTAAAAAGGAAGACTGTGAATTATTAAACGTTAATGAATATGAAAATGCTAAATCAAAATTGAAATATAAATATATTGGAAGTGATGAAAGATGCAAAGATAAAGATAAAGTTTATACAGTTTCATATAATAACTGGCACACGTTAGGGATAAGAAAACATTTAGGAGATTATGGGAAATGTTCTGAATTCTTTAAATCTAGTATATACGAGAGAGTAAAAGAAATTAGATATAATTATTTTCATGAATAAAAAATAAACTTTAAAAATTCATGTCTTACGAAAAATTAAAACTTAGTTATGTTTATTATTTTATTTTTTTATTTTGTATGAAATGAGCGTCAAAACTAACAACGTTAAAAAATTAGGATTCACAAACGGGGAAATAAAGGATATATTAGAGGAGGTGGGTTATGAAGTTGATAAATATTATTTAAGAAATTGTCAAAAATTTGCCGAGTTATTAAATGATTTAGATTATGATGGAAAAATGAATAAAGATGATGTTATAAATTTCTTATATCCCACATCTGAAGAAGAAAAACCTAAAGAACCTGATGTTTTCCCTGAATATTATGAAGAACGGATTAAAGATGATGATGAATACAATGAAATTGAAATTGAAAGACTGGAAAAAATAAGAGATGAAATAGATGAAAAAATTAAGGAATTAAGGGTGCCCTATAACGATAATGTAAACATCACAAAATTAACCTTATTAGAACTCGAATGAATGGATTATCCGGATTCTAGTTCTCAATATAATAGCCTTAAAAGTGCTTTTCTGAGGGTGGTCTATCGTCTATAGGGCACCCTTAAGAGAAGTTGAAAAATATAATGAAAATGAAGTAGAGGATTTAATGAATATCCCAGCTTCAGAATCAGAAGTTCAGAAATCTCATGAAGAAAGATATAAAAATTATGTCTCAGAATCAACACAAAATTTATTAGATGGTGAAATAGACGAAACACTTTCAGAAGAAGGTACTAAATTTATTCGTAAACATAAGTTACAATTTATTGATAATGAAAAATACCCCTCTATATTACTTTCACCACCTTTAGATTCCGAAAAATTCAAAAAAGCTCTTAAAAACGTGACATATGCAACTAATACGATTAAGAAAGAAGATCATGATATTTACACAAATTATTATTTAAATAAATGCACTGGTGTTGATAAAGTTTTTGATTTATTAGATAAAATATCAAAAGAAACCATTGGAACATATAAAATTTTGTGTGATTGTGGTTTCATTATTGAAGATACCAATAATGTTTCATATGAAAGAACAGCACCGAAGGAAGACGAAGTGGAAAGGTCTATACCATTCATTATTAAGAATATAAAAGATATGAAAACGTATAAGCATTATATTTATTCATTTATTTCAGAAAAAATGGAAGCAACCCATAAAACATCATCTCATCATTTTATAGCTATTCATACATTCCTTTTCAAAGTTGTGAAATTAAATAAGACAGGAATTAGATTTAATGTATCAGGGTACGCATTCTTGAGTAAATTAAAATGTATTCGTCACGTCGCAGATGATAAAAATTTATGTGTTCTTAATTCATTTTATGGGCTTTAAAAAATAAACTTTATTTTTATTTATTTTTTTATTCTTACATAAATGAACAAAAATGGAACAGCTAAAATGAATGATAATCAAATAAGAGCCGAAGGTAGAAGGTTATTTAAACGCTTCTATAACATTCCTGATGGTGTTAATCCTAAAACTCGTAGAAGTTATTTAAATGAAGCCATAGATGCATATGAAGGATTTGACATTTCATCAGAAAGTGAGAGGTTAGCAAGAATGTTAAACGTTAATATTGATTTTTATTATTGTGACCCTCAACCAGAAGACGTAGACATTAACAAGGTAGACTTTCCATTAGTGGAATCAATAATGATAGATCCAGAATTTGAAACAGTAAATATCTTATTAACACAGAGTCCATGTGGAAAACTTCACGCTGACAGAATTACAGACGTTGAAGCACTCACAGGATATAAAGTTTGCCCCTTTTGCAAAGAAGAAGTTTATTCTATCCGTGATGATCCAGAAAGGAAAAACCAAAGAAGATTTTTAAAACATTGTGAGAAATGTAAAGAAAATAATGGAAGATTAATTCAAGACGTTCAATTGCAAAACACACAACAACCATATGCACCACATATCACGAAACAGAAGATATATCAATGGCTATTAGCACATAATTTGCAGGAATATTATAAACCAACAAGATATTATATTACTTTTGACTTCGAAACATTAGAGACTAAAGAAGAACTTCAACTTTCTGAATGTGCAACTTTGAACGCTTACTTAAAACCATTTATGGTATCATCAACTGTCAAAATAAAGCCGCAAAGCGGCGAGGTCGTAGACCGTGATAAAACATTTACGAGGAATTTTTGCTTAACATCAAGTGATTCGTTCATCTCTGATTGGATTGAATTTTTATTTTCAACCTGTTCATTAGTTGCTAAATCAAATATTGAACAATATGAAGAATTAATGAATACATTAAATGAGAAACAGAAGGAAGCATTTAAAGAACTTCTAGATGAGGAATTCAATAAAGTGAATATCATAGGTTTTAATTCGGGAAAGTTTGATTTAAATTTAATTCTTCGTGATTTAAACACCGCAAAATGGAAAATAAAATCAATGCTGGGTTCTTCTTCACAATTTAAGCAAATCATTGTAAAGAAAACAAACGTTCCATATGAATTAAGATTTATTGACATCAGAAATTATATAGCGGGTGGAACATTAGACCAATTCACTCAAGATTTCGGAAACAATAAAACACGTGTTAAATCCTTTTTCCCTTATCAATTCATCACATGGGAAAATTACGAAGAAGAATTATATAAAGAGGAACCATTCACAAAAGATTCATTTTATTCAGCATTAACCCAAGAAACTATATCAGATAGTGATTATCAAATATATCTCAATGATGCTAAAAACTTTAAGAATAGATTAGAATATTTTATTCATTATTGCAATAAAGATGTTGAAATTATGATTGACCCAATTGATAAAATTATCGAAGAAACATTTGTTTATAAAATTGACATGCTTCATAATCTTTCTTTATCATCGAATGCATCAATGATTCGTTACGCGTTAGCATATAAGAACTTCAATCCTAACGAAACATATCCAGAAGAAGAAAATGTGGAATCAAGTTTTGAATTAACGAAAAAGTATTGGAAATATAAAATTGAATCATATAAGAAACAAGATGAAAAGGCGAAAAGAGATACCAAAAACAATGTTTCAATGGATGATTTTCAATACTATCACAATTTAATCCTTTCATCTAAATGCAAAATGTGTGGTAAAGCGTTTACATATGCAAATAAACCAACATTGGATAGAATCGATAATGAAAAACCACATACTAAAGAAAATTGTCAGTTAATGTGTTGTTATTGCAATGTCGTAAAATCAAATAAAAATGAAGATGTTCAACGTTTAAGAATCAATTTAAGAAATTATGCATTAAAAAATAATTTACCAATGACTTTAGATTCAGTTGAAGCTTATCACATTCTCCGTAATGGAATTACTGGTGGTCTATCAAATGTTCAACATCGTGTTAATCTTAAAGGAATCACGCACATTAATAAACTTGCATATAGTCCAGAAACTAAAACTGTATCAAATGAGGACACCACCAACATTATGACTCATTTCGTTGGTGTTGACTTTAATTCATTATATCCTTCATCATTTTCATCTAATCCTCATGATTTCATTCAATATACTGACCATAAAATGTATATGCCGGGAAGATTGAATGGTGTTATCATTTGTGATACAGCAACAAAGAAAGCAAAAGCACTGGGAATACTTAAGAAGAAAAATACTTTATTCGTGGCTGAAGTAAAGGGTCACATTGATGAAAAATACATTAATGATTACATAAACTTTTTACCGATAATAAGAAACTTAGATATTATCACAGATGAAAAAACAATTGGTAGTTTTATGTATAATTACATGAAATCAAACAATCTACCAGTTGACCAGAAACAGAGAAAATTAACTCAGTTAGCATCAACACACAACCAATATCAACCATTTTCTTCTTATTATCTATGGTATCTAATCGACAGATTTCATTTTATCATTGATGATATTCAATCAATTTTAACATTTACTAAAAACACTTGTTTTAATGAATTTGCGAAAGAATTTATGAATGAAAGACAAAAGGCTGAATTAGAAGGAAATAAAGGAAAAAGTTTATTTTGCAAGATTTCACTTAATGGATCATATGGTTACGATGCAATGAATACACAAAATTACGCAAAGACTAAAATAATGAATGCACAGAAGGCACGCGTTGCATGTATGTCAAATAAGTTTAAAAACATAAGAGAAATAGGTGAGGATACATATCAAGTGATGCTCAAAGATAGATTTTATAGATGTGATACATGTTTACAAGAGGCATTCTTCACTTTAGATAATGCTAAATACTGGTATTTGGTTTTCATTTATGATTTTATGTATAAATGCTTGAATGTTAATCGTTTTCATTTCATTGAAGGTGATACTGATTCATCTTATTGGGCAATCGCTGGCGACCCAAATCTTCCTAACACTCAAGCATTTCAAGCAATTGTTACCGATAAACAATTTTATGATAAAAACATTTTCAAATTCGCACCTTTTGATTTCTTCTGTTTTGATGAGAAATTTAAACCTAAATTAAAGAATAAAGCTGAAGAAAAAGCACATGAGAAAAAATTATTGGGTTTAGCAATTGAGAAACAAGGCGATAACATGGTTGCTTTATGTCCTAAGTGTTATACATCATTCAACGGTTCAATTGATGGAAGTGATTTTAAAAAGATTGCACAAAAAATGAAAGGTGTTAGTTTACGACAAAATAAACAATTAACACCTAAAAATTATTTGGATATAATAAATGATAAATTGATATTTGATGGTCAGAATATTAATTTACAACTTAAAAATGGGTCAATGACTCGCTTAACAATTGGTAAGACTGCATTAACAGGAGCACACACTAAGGCTGTATGTTGTGAAAATGGATGTTGTATGCCATTTATTTAAAACATTGATTTTATTTTTATATAAATGGATAACACAGATTTAAAAATTTTAATTGATGATTTAGTACTTAATCAAAATTTTCTTGATTATTATGGTTTAAAAGCATATCTCCAAAAATATGATAACAATATAACAGGTGATGATATGGAATATTATTATCCATATTATAAAAATGAAATTTTGAAATATCATAATAAAATAATTTCTGAAATTAAAGACAAAATTAAAAATAATGAATATACAAAGGGAAAAACTAAATCACAACTTAAACAGTTGAAAGATTTCAAAAATAAAGTATTAACAGAAGAAGATATTGATGAATTATATAATTTATATAATCCTGAGCCGCAAAAACCAAAGCCAAAGGAACAAAAACAAAAGGTGCAAAACGCCCAGGTCCTTCAGACCATAAATGATGCACAAGCTTTAATTTATGATTCATTAGTTAAACCATATTCAGCCCGACTTTTAAATGAAGATCAACTTTTGGAATTCATCCTTCAACATAAACTCGAAGCGGGAAAGTATATCAAACCTTTATATATAGCATATTTAAAACAAATGAATAGAATACATCCAGAATTAATGAAAGGAGGAATGAAATCCAAAATCAAAGCAGATAAAATTAAACCACTTGCAACACCAAAACCTCCAACGACAGTACCGCCTCCTCCTTCAGTTAATCCTTCATCATTCACTTTATTATATCCATTTCAAACATTAAAGAAGCAAAAAGATTTTAAAAAGGATTTCAAGATATTAAATAAACCAATTGACCCGAAAATTCAACCGTTAAAGGAAAAATTTAGTCGCCCTTCATTTGCTCCATATCCATATTCATACGAAATCGATCATCTGGAATATTCAAAAGGAAAAGTTACTTATTTATTTGCCATTAACATTAACACTAGATATTTATATTGCATTCCAGTGAAAGGGAAAACAGAACAGGAAACAAGAAGAGCTATTCAATACTTACTAGATCATGAAAGAGTGGATAATATCAGGGTGATGGTGATAAAGGATTTCAGGCAGCTATGACTCATTATTTCCCACAAATTAATTTTTTCTTTTCATCCTCTCCATATACGTTTCATAATAAAATAGTTGATGCGGTAATGAGAACTCTTAGAGATGCGTTAGGGGTTAACGGTCAGATATACTGGGATGGAAATCATGACTCCATCATACAGCAGTTAGTATATTATTACAATAATACATGGCATAGAACTATAAACATGAAACCAGTGGAAATGAAAAATGATATTTCAAAAGAATGGGGATATATTAGAAAGCAAATGGAAAGGTTGAATGATGTTAAACGTGAACAAATTAATTCGGGGCTCATGAATTTTAAACAAGGAAATAAAGTTTTAATTCATCTCGATTATGGAAAAACTGATAAATCAATGACAAAAAGAAGACGAAGATTTGACACAATAGCTGAATTTGTTAGATATATTAACGGCAATGCATTAGTTGAAGTTGACAATAAATTAATAGAAATTCCAATTTATTTTATTACTCCATTATATTTAAATAATATTTAATTTTTTTTATTTTGTAAGAAATGAGTGACAACGAAGCAGTCAAGAGTCCAGACGATGAATATAAAAAGAAACTAAACAGAATTAAATCAAAAATATGCTATTACAAAAAGAAGCCACAATGCGGTGGGGTTGAAAACGATAAAGAAATAATCGAAAAATTAGAAACTTATCGTTCAATCATTAAACTGAGTGAAGCAAAAATAAAAGAATTTAATAGAATAAATAAATTGATTGGAAGAGATAAATTTAATAAAGATGAATTTTTAAACTCAATCCAAATTTAATTTTTTCGGTGCTACCATGTTACCATGTGCTACCAGGTCAATTAACATCTCTGAAAAAATGAGACAACATGACATTTTGACAACAACATAGGAGGAAGGTATTTATGAATTATTTTTGAAGAACTGAAGGTGCTACCATGTTACCATGTGCTACCAGGTCAATTAACATCTCTGAAAAAATGAGACAACATGACATTTTGACAACAACATAGGAGGAAGGTATTTATGAATTATTTTTGAAGAACTGAAGGTGCTACCATGTTACCATGTGCTACCAGGTCAATTAACATCTCTGAAAAAATGAGACAACATGACATTTTGACAACAACACAGGAAATGAGTGTAAATGACCCAAAAATAAAGAGTTAGTATACAAGTCTTGGGTACGGCGGCACTGCGTTCCACCTTACCCAATACTTGTGAATTTGACACTTTACAAAGCCGCCAACCATTTCACCTCACTAACGAACTCACTAACGACTTCACTAATGTTCTCATAAATTTTCTTCAATATCTTCATCATCAGTGTTAACTCTATTGTAGTCATACTTGAAGTCATAAAGTTTCTCTAACTTCTTAACGTACAATTTACATAACTTACCTTCGTCATCGTATGGTTTAATGATATAACTATTTCTATCTTTATACACAGTCAATGAAAAGTCAGCTGGTCTCGGATGTATTTGAAAGAACATGTTATGCTCAGGAAGGAAGAATAAATGTTTAAATGTATGTTTGTTATACTGTGGAATTCGAATGAGTTGCTTTTGTTCTGTCATTTATATAAAAATAAAATAAAAAATAAACTTAAAAATTAATGATATCACCACCCTCACACGTATGAAAACATAGCACAAAAATAAATTTAGGTGAAGTGGTGAGATCTCACCTCTTTTTTCACCTGTTTTTTCACCCACTTGAATTCATTGCTTTATAACTCTCTTCCTTGGTTTCTTTTTAGTTGCTTTCTTCACGTCTGTCTCCAACTTGACTGTCTTTCTTCTTCGTCCATAATGATACCAATTACTTCCACCAGTCAATGGGTCAAATGGTCGTTCATAAGGGTTTCCATACATTCCATAAGGTCCGTATGGATAAACCGCTAGTGGAGAAGAAACATTTTCTTTAGTTCCATCGACTCTATTTAAATGCATTGTTTCACCTTTCATCTGGTCATTAAAGTCTTTTGCGTGTTTTGCAAACTCATCGTCCTTTCCTAAAGCATTTTCTGACTCAGTCGCAACCAAATTGGATGCTTTATTTATGAGCCCTATTTTATTTAATCTTAACTTCTTTGCAACCCAGCCTCCAATCTTCCCTTTATTTGCATCTAATGTCTTCGAAACCCTTCCTCCACTCATTTTATTTACTGCGTCATAAGCTCCAAGTGCTTTTGCTCCAAATGCTAATGCTTTTGTTCCCATTGCGCCTAAAGCTGCCCAAGCTACCATTTACACCATATTAAAATCATCTCTCTTCAATATTATCTCATAAAAGTTCTCGTTACTGGAGAAAGTCAATGAAACATAAACATTCTCACGGGCTTCGCCCTCACCGCTTTGCGGTCTATCTAACTTCTTTCTTATCTCATCTATACGCTTCAAAATGTCTGAACAATTGCTAACATCTTCTACAACAGTTATTTCATCATGAATGACCTTCAAGAACAAACTCATTTAATATGCAATTAAAATCATCTCAATAATGAGTCCATCCTTTCCATCTTTAGGTAGCACAACATCTTTCATTGAAGAAGGTTCGACAAGTCTTATGTTAAACTTACTGACAAAGTTTGTTATACTATAATGCTTTGGCGGCGAATACATATAGTTTGAAAGACATAATATAGATTCTTCAGCAAATTCACTTATACTGGATTTTATAACAATGTTCTCACGAGACCAAATACCACCAATTGACAATCTTGTAAGCAATCCTGCTGAACCTTCTACTGTAAACGTCGATGGTAACATTCCACGAAGGTCATCTATTGACATCTTTGAGTCACTGAATTTAAAGATTTTCTTAAAGCAATCGTCATTATCTAACCATGCAATAGCTTTGAAGTTTTCATTCGAATATACATCTGCTTCATTAAATGTAAATCCTGACTTCTTTGCAGATATGACTTTAAAATCTATTGAGTTTGTTTCAAAATTATATGCTATGGTAACTTCTGAAGGTAATGGATGTCCTTCCGCAGTCAGTTGTTCTCTCACTACCGTTTGAAGCTTTGTGTTAAAAACTTTCATGTCATCTCCTGTGTCTAGGTTCACATACACAGCAACAGGAAAACTATCTTGCTTCTTTGTTTCATCATTATACCTCAAAACATTAAAGTTCTTCAATAATATTGTTCTTCCTGCTGGAATACTTCGAACCTGTCTTATTTCAATAGCTTTCTCACCTCCTACATACTCTACCCAGTGTCTTGGATATTCATAAGTATACTGACTTTCTTGAATTTTGGTTGGTTTCATCATAACGTGTTCATAGTATATCTTTATACTCTTGTCAGTTAGACTCGGTGCTATGTTCTGAATATTTCTGACTTGCATTTTTAATGGAGATAAAATGAAGCATTTAATACATGACGTAGATGAAGACATGAATGAAACTACAGACAAACTTAACTCTTCTCTTATTCTTCCTTTCAGTAAGGACTATGAGTTCTGTTCAAATGGTGTTTATTTCTATTGTGGAAAGATGGGTTCAGGTAAGACATTTAATTTAATTCGTCATATACTCATAACAGAGCGTTTAGGAAACGACTCTTACTATGACCAAATCATTATATCAGCAACTTCAGACTCTATGGACTCAACAGCGAAAACATTTATGTCAAAAGTTCAAGCCTCTGTCGTTAAAGTTCCAGATAGCGAACTCATTGAATTTCTTCAACGTTACATTCGACGTAAGAGGAAATATTATGCCATCGTAGAGTTCATACAGTCAGGAATGCAAAAGACTTCTGAGGAGATGGAAAGAATTATTGACAAACACCACTTACGTCAATACTCAGGAGTTTACGATATGAAACGACTGACAAACTACATTCTGTCAAAACTTTCAAAATACCCCTTCAAAAAATATCCATCAAACACTTTATTAGTTTGTGACGACTTCGCCGGAAAAGGTTTAGTTTCAAAGCCTGACTCACCATTAGCTAACATCATTACTAAAGTCAGACATTACCATTTAACTGTAGCAATACTTATGCAAACATGGAGGTTTTTAGCTTTAAACATAAAACGTCTCATAACTGACTTCGTTATCTTTCAAGGTTTCTCACGCTATGATATTGAACTCATTTGGAAACAGTCAGGTATAACATTACCTTTTGAAGAAATTTGGGAAGCATATAAGTCTCTCATCTCTCCTCGTTCATACCTTGAGATTCATATCATGACTAATACCATTAAAGCCAAAAATATTCCATGGGAACGACCAACATTGTTTTAAAGTTTAACCTTCAATTGACTGATGGTAAACAAATTCCATGCATCTCTGTCGCCATTTCTGTTAATATTTTTGCTGTCATTCATATCATCCACTTCCCCATTCGTTAGCTTTTGAGGATATGCGTTAGAATAGCTGTTCTTAAATGAAGGCTTTTCACCTTTGAGAGCATAAACTCTATAACTTTCTGCATACTTTATGTTTGAACCTCCTGAGCCATCATTGACATAAATTTTTATAGGCTTCCACCCTTTGTTCATATTCCTGCTTCTTCCCTTAGCTCTTTTGTTCAGTAGTTCTACATCTTTATACACAGCTCCTGTCTCAGTGAATTCAACAATATTTTCATTCGTTAGCTTTACATTCAAACCCTTGTCGAGTATATTGTTCATTTCATACATATAAAAGGTTTTTATTCTATATGAAATGAGAAGCAAATCCATCTTAGCTGGTGCCGTTAATGTTCCAATTGAACCAACATCAAATGTTGACTCACGAACGACAAACAATATTGTCATAAAGAACTATAGTTCAGAGTGTTTGAAAGAAAAAGAACCAGAACTTAAGTCGGTGAATTTAAACA